GAGGATTAATTGGAGATAGGAATTGGTACCCCGCATTACAGATGACCTAATGATATGTTCCAGAGGGCCTCTATTGCCTTATCCCAACCTCCCTATCGCAAGGCAACCGGTAATATGCGGGATACCTGGTGCACTATACTTTTGGAAAGTTAGCCGGAAATGAAAGTTCATGTACGCAGGATTCAGGTCGCCCAATCATCCTTCTCTTACCCTTCTGCACGCTAAAGTGGCTTTGTGCTTTGCTATTTGCGTCCTTTTCGACAGGTTAACAAGTCTTCTGACATGGACGTGGAAGTGTTTCAACTGACACCTACAACTTTTGAGCTTCCAACCAAAGGCAGCGTCAATATGTCTCTTGAATTCACCCCCAACGCGACAGGACCCTTTGAAAGGACGTTTGAAGTTAATGTCGCCGGTGAAATGCTATTGACAACGATAACTTGTCGCGGTATGTTGCTTCGTGCAGTCAAGCTGGTGCCTATTCACAAATAAATGCCGGTTTAACGTGGGGATTTGGAAACCGATATACTTTCAACCAGAAGAGAGGAGTAAACTGTGCTCTTGGTACTAAATCCGTGAGAAAATGTTAGGCTTTAAAATGAGAGTACTCGTAAATTTACTGATGATTAATTGGAGGAAAGATTATGTTAGCTGATGCGTTCTGGATTTCAAGAAGAGCGGAGGGCATGGTGAACCCATAAATTAAGAGAAGGGTGCTTTACCTAATGTCCACGAATTAAAAAGTCCAGATTCAAGCCTCAAGTTATGTGGGTCCAGGAGTGGGCTGTTGCTAACTGGTCACAGCAAATCCAGTTGGATGATGCCGTAACCACCGATCTATCAATATTTATTATAATAAATACGGCCTACTTATATAATTAAGTACGTCATTCATCTTCCGCATCATATATCTAAAAGGTTGCTTTCAATTTGTCTGAGCAGGTAAGGGCGAACGACTAGCCCTGTCAATAGCCGAAGAAAACGAGAAGTCAGACACAGAGCCTTGTCTCCTGCGGAACTCTACTACACCTGAAGGCAATATTGTGGCGGTTTGCCGACTGAGCCCTCAGTGTCCCGGCTTTCGGTCGCAGCGTCGTTTTTCCATCTCAAGTGATAAGTATGTTCGGTGCTTGCAATCTGTGGTTCCCATTCAGGATCGTACTCACCGTCAGCATTTACCTTAGTTCTTTGTTAGATTACAGTTTACTATAGAATTTATAGAAGTGTCCTGCAAATTTTAAAATAGATCTTTTGCTCTATTGAAGTAATGTGTTCGAATCGAAAACAAAAATTACAATTTCGGTTGACTTTTCATGAGATGGGAAATCAACTGTATCTGCTTGCACTGATCCTGTAGGATACCAGCTGGGCATTTAACCTACTAGGGCTCCGATGAGGTTCTCTATCATGATCCGGATCAATGTTTCCTCTTTGCTTGAGGGTTTGCCACTCAGGGCAGAGAAAAGTATTTGTGGAAGACCTGGATTTATTGTGTAGCCCACCTGTAGAAATTTACATCAGTCTTTGGCACCAAGAAGTCATTTATTTATTGACCCTCATTCGTAGAACCAAGTAAATTTATAGCATTTCATGTTTCATCCGGTGTTTTTTAGTCAATGTACAACGTACAGCAAACGGAACAGACCAATAGACTTAAGTCTACCCCAAATGATTTTGTGACGATTTATCAGCACCTAGTAGAAACAGAATGACTTCAGGCACTCTGAGAGTTATCTTGTAAAATACGCCAAAATGTGTCTCAAGGCTCCTTTCGTTAGTAAAGTTGACGACTCATTTAAGTTTTCTTTATGAATCGAGAAAACTTAGAGTGAGATCTCATGCTCCTCAATGTTTACCGACATTTTAGTACCATAGATTTGGAGCTGCAATGGGTTTCTGGCAGTAAGATTGATCAATGCGAGGAGGAGGATGATAAGGCGGAAAAGGAACGAAGGTTTGGTGAGGCGAATACTTCGAACTTGGAATTTGTACTGAAACGAACCCTTCTCCCCGCCAAATCATCCGTTTCTGGCGGACTTATTTTCGAGTCAACTGAGGTTAGTTAAAAAGCCAGCTCAGCGCATTGACTTCCTGTTTCTCTATACCCTCACTCCTTAAGTGGAAATTGAAATGTACTTGTTCGCCAGTAAATTCGTTCTTATTTCAATTTTAAAACCTGAAGTAAAGGTAGCTTTTGGTTTACTAACAGCTTTTAATTGCCTAATTGTTTAAGAACGTGAGATGTCGATTGATAGAGCATTGCATCAGCACCCTTATGCATATCTTATGTGAACTGTCCAACATTATCCCTATTTATTGCAAAGTTTTGTGAACCCTATGAACCTAGGGGAATGTACGACTTCCCCTAAAAAGACGGATCACAGCTCTATTGTTGAAGCTCTGAAATCCAGCGCAGATGCCGCTTGGGGTTGAAATGTTTTCAGACTTAAAAAAGAGCCAAAACGTAAGCCCACACCTCGAGAAGACCACTCGAAACAGATGTATTTTAGTATTATACACGTGAATATATATATGGTACAAGTCACGTAAGTGCTGTGATTAGGATATTGCTCGATCCCCTTCCGTACGTCCGCCCCCAGCTTGCTTCGGACGATAACGAACGTTTTACCATAGGACACATGCCACATATGATACATAAATAGTTTTCTAATACGTACTGATGATCCATAGCAATGGCGAAACAGCTGTGTGCGTTTGGCCTGTTGCACCCTGAGTAGTCTATCCACGAAGTGAAGGTGGGACCGAAAAAGATAAGGGAGACTGGAATGGCCCTTTCCGGCTTATTGACCGTCATCAGCCAGTCATTCACGATCCCAGATGTGGATGATCCGAGATAAGAACCTGTGACCTTCGGTCATTGAGTGCAATACTCAGCCGTTGAGTCACGGGCCTTTTCTTTTGTCATTTGCGATCGGGAATATGTTGAGAGGGTGGGGCTCTCAAATGTGGTTACGGAATATGCATGTGCCGCTGTGCCTTGGAGTTCAATAGAAAGCCATCGCAGTCAGTCGAATAACGACTTCTAGCGTATGATTCAAAAGCTAAACTCATGGCCTGACTGAAACATCTTTGGCGTATACCTCACAACAGTCCATATTTAAACCCATTTAAGTAGTACTTTCCAATCGAATTCAACTGTCGCTCGTTCCCGATAAGTGTTCGCAGCTGCTGACGTTCGAATTCGGTAGGTAGTCTCATGGGTTTGTTTTCCCGGCTAATTGCCCTCCGCCTGGGCATGTAGCCGATATCCGTCACGTCGTTCGCCTTCTCACTCGCTTTCTGTCGAGTTGGGCATTTACAGTCCTGCTTATTAATTTGCGCCGCAAGGCTTGATAGACTGTCGGCAGAGTCACCTGGCAGTTGATGGAGGTAGTGATAATGTGCCAATCTTCCTCACCGTTTGGGCCCTTCCTCGTCCCAGAAGTTCCGCGTTCTGGAAAGCAAGGAAGCTGCACAATGCTCTGCCACCGGCGAGAGTTAATCCATTCTTTACACTGCTCTTGCGTCCTCTTTTACACGGGTCTGCAAACACTTACTGATTTCACTAACGTAACTCACTTAACAGGAACAGCGCTGGATCCGATAGACGACTTTGGCCCTTTCACCTTGTGACAGGTGACCCTTGGTCTCATGACCAAACTCTCCATTGTTGCCTTGGGTTTGTGCCAATACCGAGTGGTTGCAAGGGGCAGGCAGCTGTTTCGGATACGCTGGCCATATATGGTATCACCCGAAAGACTTTTGATTGATTTTCAGTCTGCTTTATAGTTGGACAAGACCGTCTAAGCTTCGGGGTACGCGTTTGTGGAGTTCGGCAATTTTATCGGGAGATGCTATCACATTTCTATCGGAAAGCCGGTTTGCCTTTATGGTATGGTCACAGGCAACTGGGGACATTAATGGGTTACTTAAGTGACGGCCTTTTAACTACAAAGACACTACTTGGGACGACAAACCATGCGTGCTCTGGGCTTGTCGGTAAGAGGAGCTTAATTCAGACAGCTCATCACTGACCATAAGTCGGCTGTCCATTTACATATTTTGAAGGACTACGTTTTTGGTTTAAGTAGTAAAGTTTTTTTAATGTTTTCATCAACAGGTGGGCAAGGCTCTCCTCATGGGTGTTCTGACGGTATGCTGCGTCTCAACAGAGCCAACGGTGTCTTTCGAACAACTGAAGCCCCTACAGGCGATTTATCTCGAAGCTTCTGCTGAAACGCAACCAATCGACGTCCGTGTGGAGCCTGAAGCTATCATTGAGCCAGAGCCAACTTTTACGTTTACAGAAATTAAACGATCCATCCATGTAAGCCAACCGCTTTTATTCAGGCAGTCTACGCTCTCCTGGAGCAACTAATAAGTCACATCTGGCGTACAGGCATGTATGTGTTGAAATGTAGGCATCCCAAGTAATATAGTTGGAGGTTTAATAGGTTCTTCGGGAAAGAGAATTTTTATTTTGTGAATTTTTGAAGCTGGAGACCCCGCTTCGTCTTCAGACATAGGGAAAAGTGAATG